AAAAGACAACAAAGCCTTTCCTTTATATTTCTTTCTGGTGTTGAGAATCACTCAGGGCCTCAAAAATTACAGGTAGGCGCTCTACCCTTGAGCTGTGCCCCAACCCTCAAGAAGACCTGAAGAGCCACACAGTAATGGATTAGTGACAGACCAGCGGCTGGCTTGTTTCTTCTTGAGACACCAAAAGCCCACAGGATCATGAAAGTCGTGTGATGAGCTTTGACAGCAATGTGCCTATAAACCCCTCAGGTCTGATCACACTGTCCAGTCTGCCACCAGCCCAGGCCCGGGACCAAGGCCAGCATGCAACAGCTCATTACCCGAGGAGTGGCTTGCCGAGGAGTGTGAAGTTGTCTGCTCCGACTAGCAGGACCTGAGGAGAGAGAAAGGGAGTGTTTAGTCACTGGCTCGTTAAGGTTAGAGAACACACTGAGGATTGGTGACATCCACACCCCAAAACACAACGTGACACTGAAAACGCAGTAAGAGGACCAGACTCACACGGTGGACGCAGAGAAACAACCCCTACAAGGTGTCCTCTGACCCCCACACTGACATAAATAAGTAAATGTAACTAAAATTTTAGTCAGCTAACTGGTTTTGCTCAGACCATAGGTTTTGAGACTGCTTAGAAACAGTTTAGTGTTCTTTCTCTGCGGTGTAAACACACACACAAACCCTGTAACCACAAAGGAGGGTGTCGGGGCTCACACCTGTCATCTCAGTATTCAAGAGGCTGAGGCAGGAGGATTGCCATGAATTCCAGCCCAGTTTGGGGTACAGAATAAGACCCTAGCTCAGAACAGCAAAACAAATCTACTCCCTCAATATCTACTACGCCACATTAATAATCAATAGCCAGGGCCAGCCTTGGCTGCACAGAGTTTGAGGCCAGCCTGGAAGATATGAAACCCTGTCTCAGATAAACAAGCCTACTTTCCTCACAGCAGGGGCCAGAAACCTCACTCCAAGATCGGCTGCAGTTTTATACGTGTGGTAGAAAATTTTTCTCTGGGAACACGTCAGTGAGATCGCAAGGCTCAGTGACAAGGCTGTGTCTGCACTCTCCAAGAAACAGGCTGCATCCCAAACAGGTTGGTCCTCTCGGTCAACTGTATTCTGGAGCTGCTTTGCCCTCACCTGGCCCTGCCTCCCGTTTGCACTGCCTGGCCAGACCACCTCAGCTTCCCCAATCTTTGCTAAGGCTGTTCTTCACCTCAGCAGTGAGGAAACGCTCCCAGTAACGTGCGATTGGTGACCGAGTACCCCAGCGCACAAAACAGCTTGAGTCTCACCTTCTCCAATCGAATCCTCTCTCCGCACTTGATGTCCAAGTCGTTCTCAATCAGAATCAGGTCCTCGGAAGTCACCTTCCACTGGTGGCTGGCAAAGTGGACGACAGCAAAGAGCCGGCCGTACTGGCCTGTGGCAATCAGCTCATTCACCTTTCTTACCACCTCTGTGGGACAGTGCTCGGCAGTCACCCACCAGACAGCTGGCATCCCCAGCCCACTGCCCAACCCCCTTGCTGGGAGAGCTCACTGCAGGTGTAGCCCGGCTGGCTCACCCAGCAGGCATGGGTGTAGGGTCAGACTGGAGCTCTGGGAGTACTGACCCCAGGGCTCCACCTCTGCAGTTCTGGGTGGGGAAGAACCCTCACCCCTCACCTTGTTTTTTTTGTCTTTTGAGACAGGGTCTCCCTGTCGCTCCAGCTGGCCTGGAACTCACAGAGATCCACCAGCCTCTGCCTCCCCAGGGCTGGGATGCTGGGATTAAAGGTGTTTGCCACTGCTCTGGGCAACTATTGTTTTTTTTTGTAGTCAATCAAGAGTCAGCAGATGGGTTGGGTATGATGGGTCAGACGTGTAACCCCAGCATTTGGGAGGTGGAGGCAGAAGGATTGCAGCTGAGTTTGAATCTAGCCTAGACTATACTCGGAGTGAGGCGCTTGCCAGTCGGAGAAGGGAAAGGAGAGGTCTGCAGCGGGAGTGCCCAGGACTACAGACCCTGAGCTGAGGGTGTGGGGCACCTGCCCTTTCCTCAGGTTCTTCTGTTCTTTTATCGCTGCCCTGGCTCAAGGCACAGTCCTCTGTCCTCAAACTTGGCCCCGAACAGGCACTCACTGAGCACAGACCCCTAGCTTGGTTGAGGGCTGGGCACATGGGAGGGACAGGACAATTCCTGCCCCAGAGACGTCAAGCCAGAAGCTGTGCTGCCACCTTGGCTAGGACTTGATACTTAACAGGACTTTAGGATCTTTGGGTTCAACATCCACGGAACTGGCCAATCACAGACTGAGAAAAAAACTGACATACTGAACATGTGCACACCTTCTATCAGTTCTGCAGAGTAAACGCTTGCATGGCACTGACATGGGTCAGCTACAAAGATCCAGGGAATGGACCAGGGTGTGCCGGCTACATGCAAACATGGCACCAGGGACTCACATTCACGGCTCTGATGCCTGTGGGAAGTCCTGCAACCAATTCCCACAGACCTGGAGACGGCTCAATCATCCTGTACAGGATCCAAAACAGCATTTGCAACTGTAGAAGATTCTACTCAATAATGTGAACATCAAGCTTCTGGAAGACTCAGACTCTGACTCCCCACTGCCTCTGAGTGCATCACGGCCACACTGTCCTTCCTGACAGAGGCCTGCCAGTAGGGACGTTTCTCTAGCCCCCGGGGCAGCACAGACTTCTGACCATCAGCTCGACTGTGATGCTCATGTTTCTTTTTTCTTTTTGGAGACCGGATCTCACTGTGTAGCCCAGGCTGGACTTGAACTCACGATCCTGCCACTCAGCCTCCCGAGCTCTGGGATTACAGGTGTGAGCCAACCCACAGGGCTCACTTGTTCTGACCTGGGAGGGCTCAATCCTTGAACCCACTGCTCCACTGAGAGCTGGAGGTGCACCAGGCCCTTCCCTCCCACCACCTGAGGACTCCACGGCAGACAGTGGAGGGCTATTTATTAAATGACATGTTTACTAACCAAAGTGAACACAAGGGTTTGTATGTGCTGTGTCTTGGAGCTCCCAGACATCTGGCATCCTGCTTGGTATCAATGATCACTTTCCTGGGTGGGGGTGGGGGGGTGTCAGGTGCCTTTTATTTTACTTTATTTTTGAGATAGTCTCACTCTGTACCTGAGGCTGGCTTTGAACTCTTGGTGACTCAGTTTGCCTCAGTTTCCCAAACACTATGGTTACAAGAGCCAGCCTGCACAGCCTCAGCCAAGTCTCACCTGTGTGGTATCTGGTCTCCTCAGTTGGGTCCGGCAGAACAACTTCTGGCCATGGTGGTGAACTCAGGGAGGTTTTAGGAACGTATCTGCAAAAAATATTTCATAAACCCACATCACACATGCATGAAAGGCAGATTAAAATCCTTGAGCAATGGTTGTGGGATAGGTGTAACAAAGAGCATGTGTGTGTGTGCACATGCAAGCCTGCTATGGAGAACGTACATGGCCCCAAGACACTGCTGCTAGCTCCCGATTGCTAGTGCAGAAGCTCTGGGCACTCTGCCACCAGGGAGTTTGCACACTTAAGATGTACGTCCCATCTGTCTGTGCCATTTACAGGTATACAGGAGGACTCGGCAAGCACCTAAGCAATGAACAGACTCTCCCACCATGCTAGGTCTGGGAATCCCACGGTCTGTGTCTGGACTGTGACCTTGAAGGACCAGAACAGCTAGAAGGGGCTGCTCTTCAGGTCTCTGGCCTGGGTGCCATCCAGTCCCATGACTGGACATGGCAGGGCTGGATGCAGAGTTTAGAAAGAGGGAGCTGGGGACATGGAGACTGGCAGGAGGCTGGGACCCAGCACACGAGAAGGGGAAGACAGGCCACACCTAGTGAAGTGCAGCTTGGGAGTCCTTCTGAGAACCAAAGAGGCTCCTGTTGCTGCCAGTGTCCTCGTAGCAGCCGCTGCCACTCACATTTTATGACCAAAGCGGTACTAGATGCTGTTCTGAGGTGTGCGTGTGTGTGTGTGTGTGTGTACTGGGCATGTATACTTGGGCTAGGTGTAGAACTGTACCTATGTATTTATCTATGTATTGTGTGTGTGTGTGTGTGTGTGTGTGTGTGTGTGTGTGTATTTGGCCTGTGCATCTATCTGTGCTGTGGAGGGAACTGGCTGATGGAACTGTACTTATGTATGTATGTATGTATACATATGTATATTTGCTGGGAATGGAATCCAAGATTTCACGTGTGCTGAGCAAACATGCAATCCACTGAGCCATCGCTCCCCCTGCCCACCCGGCCCAAACAGGTAAGTTTTAACCTGAGAGTGACATTTGCACAGATGAATGAAAAGTCACATTTTGGTACATTACCCTTGTGAACACGAAGCACTCTGTGAACCGAACCTTCCCGAAGCAGAGCAGAAAGAGGCTGCCGAACAAGAGAAGGCAGGTGGTTACTGCACGAAGTGAGAGTTTGCTGCTGGTGTCTCTGGTAGCCCAGGTCACAACCTGCCTTTGAAGAAGTCAGGTGGGGTGGGGTGGCCAAGTGGGTGAGGTGCCTGCTTCTCCCTCAGTCCCCGCTGTGTGACCCTGGACGGGTTCCCTAACCTCCCTGAGCTGGTTGTTTCTCTGTACAGACTCTACACCAAGCTGAAGGCCATCGTCAGTATTAAAGCACTAATCAGGAACCGGGCTGACCCAGGTTCCCCCACTCCAAGCCCCTGCACACGACACAAGTCATCCACACACCAGGCACCGAGGAGGACTCGGACTACACCCGGCGGACACCGGGGAGAAATTCCCACTTCTGCCCTCACCAGGCCGCCCTGGTCTCACCCGCTCCGGGTCCCGAAGGTGCCAGGATGCTGCGGCTGCAGGCGGTCACCAGTCGCCAGAAGGTGCCGGTTAAAGCTGAGGCCGCCATCTTCCCGCAGCCGCGACCGGAAGTTGCAGCGGAAGTTGCACGAACCCTGTGAGACGATGCACCGGCCGGGTGGGGAACACGAGTCCAATGAGAACACAGGTCAGGCAGGATCACGGGCCCGGCAGGGAACACGGGTCCGACGAGGATATGGATCTTACGGGAATCACGGGTCAGACAGGATAACCGGCCCCACAGGGAGCTCAGGTCCGTCAGGATCACGGGTCCGGCAGGGAACATGGGTCCGACAGGAATCGCGGGTCCGTCAGGGAATGTGGGTCCGACGGGAACATGGGTCAACAGGGAGTACCGGTCCGGTGGGATCACGGGTCCGGCGGGATCACGGGCCGGCAGGAACATGGGTCCGGTAGGTTGTCGGGCCGCCAGGGTGTACAGGTCCGTCAGGCTCTCTGGCCCGGCTGGGAACACGGGACGGACGGCAACATTGGTCCGCCAGGAAACACCTGCCCAGCCGGGAGCTTGGTGTCGGGACCCTGGCACGGAGATGGCCTCGCCGACCGTGGAGAGCTTCGTGGCGGAGCAGTTGCAGCTGCTGGAGCTCGAGCGGGACGCGGAGGTGGCGGAGCGCAGGTAGGTCCTGGTGCTTATCCTGCCCGGCTCCCGCCCCGCTGCCCTCGATCGGCCCGGAGCCCGCGTCCTTCTGGTTTACCGGCTCCTGCTGCGCCCAGCCGGGTCGAGACTCGCCCTCGGACCCCGGCGGTGTCGCTGTCTGCGGTGTCTGCAAACCAGGGGAACTGCACTGTCATCCCAGCCTTCGGGAGGCTGAGGCGGGAGGATCCGAGTTCGAGGCCAGCCTGGACTACACCAGACTGTGACTCATCCCCCTCTTCCCCCAAAGAACCCGGTGCCCTTTGAGGTGTTAGGTGTGGGGATGGTGACAAGTTTTCCCCTGGGAAGGGGGTGCCTGGAAGAAAGAGGGATTAAGTTTATGTATGTATGGGCGCTGAGCACTGCTTAAGAGCCCGCTTGGAGAATATCTACTTGCCTGGGACAGGCAGAACGGACACTCAGGTACTCACAGAGTCATGCCAGCAGTGTGTTTCCCTAAGGAAGAAGGGTGTGTGTGTGTGTGATTAGCCCAGGCTAACCCCGGTAGAGGATTCCAGATGCAACCATTGGTTGCTTGGGAGGTCTTTGGTCCTGGTAAGAGATTTTACAGCCAGAGCAGAACCCCAGCTCCTTCCTTTGTGGCTGTGGGATTTTGTGAGATTTTATTTCGGAGGTGTCCTTACTTCCTCTGTAAAGACAGGTGATTTCCAGAACCCTATGCTAGCTCTGAGAATAAAGTGACCTACTCTTAAGTTAAGGACACAGTGTGGTTCCAAGTAGATTAACTACGAACCATGGTGTCTGTTCCTGACCGTGCCAAAACACAGGCATGGGCCAGGCTGACCAGGTTGGGGCTTGGGAGCTTATTGTGTGTGCTTTGGGCACAGGGCAGCCACCAGAGAGGCCAAGCTGTGAGGGGAAGAGGATAGATTGGAACTTTAGGGAGGTCACTTGGTTGCTGGTGCTAGCAGTTGAACAGGGTCCCAGTGGCAGGACACTTAGGAGAGTGTGTTTAGTCCATGAAATAAGTATCGTGGCCTCGAATCATAGCTAGGGCATTGGGAGTCAGAGGCAGAGAGGGAGTCAGGGTATCAGTGGGTGGCCCCTCAGGACTTGGTGACAGATGGTGTAGAGGTGTAGGAACATTCTACCTTGGCTGACCTGGGTCAGATTGGGCAGTACCTGTCCTAAGAGCTGGGGGAGGGGCAGGTGTGGGTTCTGAGTTCCCCTGGGGTGTTTAGTGCCTGTACACAGATCTCCCTTCCCTCCTCCTCCTGAGTGGGCGGAGGTAGAGCTTGTACAGGTACAAGGAGTGACGCGCCCATCCTGGACACCTTCCAGGTCCTGGCAGGAACACAGCTCTCTGAAGGAACTCCAGAGCCGAGGCGTGTGTTTGTTGAAGCTGCAGGTATCCAGCCAGCGCACTGGGCTGTATGGACAGCGGCTGGTCACCTTCGAGCCCAGGAGATGTGGGTCTGCGGTACTGCCCAGCAACAGCTTCACTTCTGGTGTGTGTGGGGGTATGCATGTGTGTATGTCTGTGTGTGTCTGTATGTGTCTCTGTGTGTGTGATGTTCATTGTGGCCACCGCTGTGTTCAGACTAAGGCTTATGCTCTGCCTCAGGTTGCAGGACAGCTCAGGTGGACTGTGAGGCACTGCAATGTAAACATCCTTAGACATTGAACAACTAACATAGCTGGCTTTCCTGGGTCTGTGTAGCTCAGGCTGGCCTCGGGCTCACTCTGTAGTTGAAGATGACCTTGTACCTTGAACTCCTGATCTTCCTGCCTCCACTTCCCCAGTGCTGAAATCATAGCCCGAACCACCACGCCGTACTTTTGTTGACTTTTGGAGATAGGGTCTCTCTGTTTAGCTCTGGTTGTGCTAGAAGGTTCTGTGCAGATGAGGCTGTCCTCAAAGTTGCATTAAACTCTCTGTCTCCTGAGTGCTGGGATTGCAAGCATACTCTACCACATTTGGCTGTCATACATGGCTTTTTGGTTGCCTAGATTGGTACTCGCCAAAGCAAAGCCGTGAGGTACGTGTGGTTATAGAACACTTGATGGCAGCTAGTGTTCATTGGTGACCAAGCCCAGGCTTTGGCAAGCACTGCACCAGCCGAGCTACAGCCCAGTCCCAGCTAAGTGTGCATGCGTGTGTGCAGGCTAGAGGTCACCCGTGGGTGTCATTCCTAGGTCATTCACCTTGTTTCATCCTGCGACAGGGTCTGTCAGTGAGACTTGTGGCTCACCTGTTCATTTAGGCTGGCCAGTGAGCCCCAGACATCTGTCTCCACCTCCCCAGCACTGCCATTCTAAGTGTATGTGGCCACACCTGGCTTTTTAGGGGATTGAACTTAGATCCTCATGCTTGCAAGGCAGGCCCTTTACTAACAGCTGTCTCCCCAGCTCCTGTCAGTTGCTTCTTAAGAACAATGATTTTACTTGTGGCTGGTCGTGGTGGTGTATGCCTTTAATCCCAGCACTTGGGAGGCAGAGGCAGGTGGAGTTCAAGGCCAGCCTGGTCTACATAGCGAGTTTCAGGCCAGCTGTGGCTACAAGGAGACCTTGTCTCAAAAACAAAGAAAAAAGAAAAAAGAAACCATACACACACGCACACACGCATACACGTACGCATGCACGTTTAGGGGCCAGTGAGTTCTAAAGGTAGAGATGCTTGTTTCCAAGCCTGAGGATCTGTGTTTGATCCCTGGGACCCACATGGTGCAAAGAGAGAACCGACTTACTCTGACATCCACACGCTGTGACATGCACAGGCAGTCTCACCCAAGTGCAATAAATAAATGAGCATTAAAAATATAAGCATAATCACATGGATATATGATATTTAGCTGAGTCTGGTTTTGAAGGTGATATCGTGGGTCTGTATGATGCTGCTAATGAAGGTGGTCAGCTGGCTACTGGCGTCCTGACCCGCATCACTCAGAAATCAGTCACAGTGGCCTTTGATGAGTCCCATGATTTCCAGTTGAGCCTTGACCGGGAGAATGCCTACAGATTGCTGAAGCTTGCCAACGACGTCACCTACAAGCGACTGAAAAAGTAAGTGCTCTTGTTCAAGAGTCCGGGCAGGAGGTTTCCTTGAACATGACTTGCCCGCTCCCACACTTTTGCTCAGCGAGGAAGTGGCCCTGTCTGGTCAGGAGTACTGGGTGCCCCCAGGAGAGGCGGTGCCCCTGACCTGCTGCCCCCTGACCGACCTGCTGCTGCCTGCTCCTCACTTTGGCCTTGTCCCCTGCAGAGCTCTGGAGACAGTTAAGAAGCACCGCTGTGGGCCCGCGTCCTCCCTCATAGACGTCCTCCTGGATGGCTCCGCCCCCAGTCCTGCCAGCGAACCATGTGAGAGCACTTGAATTTCTTCTTTAAAGATCTATTTTTATTTATTTTTATCTTTTTGAGATGGTCTCCCTGTAGCTCCAGCTGGCCTGGAGCTCACCATGTAGACCAGGCTGGCCTTGAGCTCCTGGTCCTCCTGCCTCCACCTCCCAAGTGCTGATATTAAGGGTGTGGACCATCACGCTTTGTGTGTGTACACGTTCATGTGGGTGTGCATGTATGTGTGTGCACCTGCTGCTGTGGCCCGAGGTTGCTGTCAGGTGTCTTCCTCGGTTGGTCTCCACCACATTTATTTATCATTATCCTGTGTGTGCGTGCATGCATGTGGTATGCATGCATGCACATGTGTCACAGTGCGCCCGTGGAGGTCAGGAAATAATTGTGGAGTCAGTTTACTGCTTCTCTCTTCACGTGGGTTCTAGGAATTGAACTCAGGTCGGTGGGCTTGTGTGACAGATGCCTTTACTCACCAGGCACCTTGCTGGCTCTGCACTGCTTTGAGACAGGGTCTCACTGAACTTGGAGCTCTCTGGTTTGGCTAGCTTGTTGATAGTGAGCTCCAGGGAGCCACCCTCCCCCAGGGCTGGGTTAGTTAGAGCTGTGTACACTTTGCCTGGCTTAGGTAGGTGTTGGATTAGAACGCAGGGCTTTGTTTTATGTGGCAAGCGCTTCTCAGGTATTCTTTTTATCTTTTTAGTTTTTATTTTTCGAGATAGGCTTCATGTAGTCCAGGCTGCTCTCAAACCTATGATGTGGCCAAGGATGATTTTGAACTCCTGATTGTCCTGCCTCTGCTTCCCGGGTGCTGGGATCACAGGCGTGCGCCCCACCATGCCCACCTCAGTTTATTAGCTGTCTTTTTCTTTTTTTTTGTCCTTTTGAGACAGGGTCTCCCTGTAGCCCCAGCTGTCCTGGAACTCACTATGTAGACCAGGCTGGCCTTGAACTCACAGAGATCCGCCTGCCTCTGCCTCCCGAGTGCTGGGACTACAGGTGTGCACCACTACGCCTGGCTATTAGCTGTCTTTTAAGGACTGCTGTGTGTCCTGATTGTACCTCTCATCCAAGGGCAGGGTGTGTGCTGTAGAAACTTTGGATTGGGCGGTGTGCGCATTGCCCCTCATTTAACAGTTCTACACTTTGGTTTCATCTCTTAAGTCCAGATCAGCACCTTTGATTACCAGCTTGGGGCGTTCATCTATTAAATGTGTCTGGGGGACTCTGGGGACAGAGCTGAGTGCTCTGGCTTGCCGCTGCTGTCTGGAGCAGAGCACAAGGAGCCCATCATTGGGGCTGGAGATGGTGCAGGGGTTAGGCCATTGCCGTGCAAGTGCAAGGACCTGAGTTAGGGTCCCCAAGACCCCCGAGAAGCCAAGTCTGCACCTTCAGCCCATCTGCTGTGAGATGGGAGGCCAAAGCAGAGTCCCAGAGCCTTGTGGGTCGGCTGACCCGGACTCGGCAGGGGTGAACAGCAGACCTTGTTTCAAACAAGGTGGAAGGCAAAGACCAGAATCCGAGGGTGTCTTCCGACCTCCACAAGCATGCCATCACACACATGTAGCATGCCGCCACACACATGTAACATGCTGCCACACACATGTAGCATGCTGTCACACGTGCACACTCACATCATACACAGACAAAGATCTTAAAAAGAAGTGTTTCTTTAGTCATCTGAACCTCCTGTGGTCCAGAATAAAGACAGAATCCTGGAATTGTTGCTCTGTGTTTTTTGTCTCTAAGATGGATAAAGTGATGGAAAAGAATTTGCCAAGAAGCAGTTCTTCCACATCCGATGGAGGGTGGGCGTGGGCGAAACAGAAGAAGCAGGGTGTTAGTTTCTGGACTTTGGGGCCATGAGCTCTCTTAAAACTTTATTTTTATTTCATGTGTATGCGGGTATCACCTGCATGTGTGCAAGTGTACCTGTGTCGTGCAATGTCCTTAGAGGCCAGAAAAAGGCGTCAGATCCCCTGGAAGTGGAATTACAGATGGTTATTGGCTCTATGTGGGTGCTGGGAACTGAACCTGGGTCCTCTGAGAGAGTGGCCAGTGCTCTTAACTGCTGAGCCACCTCTTCAGCCCCCCACATAATCTCCTTTGCAACTCAACCCTGCAGCAGCACCCAGCAGCCTCTGGCTGGTATGTAATGGAATGACATGGTACTTTCTAGTAAAACTTGGGAAATCAGCAGCAGACGGGAGGTTGAGTCCTGTTCCTGGAGAAATCTTGTTTTGAAAATAAAGGCTGGGGCTGTAGTTGAGTTGATAGAGTTGCTTGCCTATCATGCATGAAGCCCTGGGTTCCATTACCAGCACCACATAAACCAGGTGTGATGTCACACATCTGTAATGCCAAGACTCATGAAGTGGAGGCCATCCTCAGCTGCATAGTGAGTTCAAGGCCAGCCTTGGCTACATGAGCCCTTACCTTGGCAAATAAAGCAAAACAGAAAACAGCAGACTGATAACATGTACAGCACACCCTGGGGTCCAGCTTACCCCTCAGTGGGTGGCTCAGCCTAGGGTTCAGCCTGCTGCTCAGTGGGTGGCTCAGCCTGGGGTCCAGCCTGCCCTCTGCAACCTCTTTTTTAGCCTGTGAGGAGGGAGACTGTGTTGGGGTGCTGGGGCCTAACACTGGTTTTGTTCTGTAGGCTCTATCACTTTCTACAACTCCGCCCTGGACCCCTCCCAGAAAGAAGCTGTGTCCTTTGCACTGGCTCAGAAAGAGCTTGCCATCATCCATGGGCCTCCCGGCACTGGAAAAACCACAACTGTAGTAGAGATAATCCTCCAAGAAGTGAAGCGAGGCTCGAAGGTGTGTGGGCTGGACAGTAAGGCCCCTCAGCTGTCACTCTGGGCGGTGCTTGGCAGGTCCCTGGGCAGTCTAGTATGGCTGGGCAGAAACAGCACCGGGCACTTACAGGTTGAGTGTTGGGCTCTTTGGGATTTCTCTCAGCCCCACAAGACATGGACGCATACACAGGAACACCTGTCTGGATGGATGCGGAGGCTTCTGGGGCCCGTAGGACCATGGTGCCTTGGTTGTTGGTCCAGGCCCCAGTCAGGAGCCATCAGTTTACAACAGAGGTTTCCCTCAGCGGGACTCCCAGAATGAGACCTCAGAGGCTGAGAGTCCCCATGGTGGACGGATCGCTCAGCCTCCCAGAATGAGGCTTGACACTGTCCATACGCTGGCTAAAACCCACACAATTACAAGCACCACTGGTGAGAACTTTCCAGAATTGTGTAGTGATAAACCAGGCCCTGCAAACCAGACAGGCGAGGCCCAGGCTCCTCAGTGCTCTCATTTTACTATGTGGTGTGTTTTGTGGGCAGCCAGCTCCACAGAAGGGGAAGCACCCCACAGGGCCGGCTAGCTGCAGGCAGGGTGCCCTCCTTCCAAACAGCTGCAAGCTAATGGGGAGGGGCATCTGAGGCTCTCTCTACTGGTCAAGCCTTGACAAGCTGTAACTGGATCTCAGGGCCACTTTACCACCAGCTAGGAGACAGAACAGGTGACGAGAAATGGGTTTATTGGTCCAAACTGGGGAGAGACTTTCTCAGCTTCTCTTCTCTGCGTAGCTCAGGCTGTGCTGGGACTCTGTGTAGCACAGGCTGACTTGAACCCCATGCTCATCTTCCTGCCTCAGGCTCCTGAGTGCTGGGGTCACAGGTGTGCCCTGACATGCAGGCTGCCTTTTGTATTTTGTGCAGTCCCTGGTCAGCTGACCACTTTCAGTGCTTTGGTGATGAACAGGTTGTGAAGAGCTGGGTTCTAGTTATCCTGACATGGGTGGGTCGAACACCACGCACCCTCCGTACCTTCTGTGTCCTCTATCACCTTACCAGCATGCACTCCGTCCTTTAAGCCTTTCTTTTTGGTCAGTGTATTGGTTGTTTGGTTGGTTTTTTTTTTTTTTGAAACAGGGTCTCCTTATATCCCCAGCTGGCCTGGGTCTCACTGTGTAGACCAGGCTGGCCTTGATCTCACAGAGATCCATCACCTCTGCCTCCTGAGTGCTGGGATCAAAGGCATGCGCCATCACGCCTGCTAGTTGGTGCAGTGGTAAGTGGCTCCACGAGGAAAGCAGCTGCCAGAAGCCTCACTGTACCCCCACCCCCTGCCAGGTTCTCTGCTGTGCTCCCTCCAATACTGCTGTGGACAACCTGGTGGAGCGACTGGCCCGGAGCAAACAGCGGATTCTGCGCCTAGGGCACCCTGCCCGCCTCCTGGAGTCCGTCCAGCAGTACTCCCTGGACGCTGTGCTAGCACGCAGCGACAATGCCCAGATCATCTCGGACATCAGAAGGGATATCGACCAGGTCTTTGTAGGTATTGTGGAGTGTCGTCCTGCCACAAACTCTTCTGATATGAGGACTTTAAGGGGTGAACTCGGCCCAGGCTCCTGCTTTTTCATTCATTTATTTAATAATATAGCTAAGATTCCTTCTGAGAGGCGCAAATGATGTCCACCCCCCTCCTCCCTTGGTTCCTATGACAAACTGAGGTTTAATTTCACCAGTGAGTTTATTGAGCTTGCTTACAGAGCAGTAGGTGAGGGTTTGTTACAGGAGTGTGGGTGCTCTCTGCCAAGGCCACACTGGAAAGTCTTCATCCAAGTGTGGATGGTGACTTCCCCTCAGCCACACAGAACAGCTAGAGAGTCTCCTCACCACTTCTTGGTTTATGTACCCTTAGCCCTCCCCCTGTGCAACTGGCTGGAGGTGTGGCCGACTCACCCCTCCCTCCTTTCTTGGGGAACGTAACAGTCAACAAGCTTAGCTATGATGACCCTAGGTGAGCGGGTGCAACCAAGCTCGGGAAGATGGCATCTGCCCATGGTCTTTCTGTCAGGACAGTCCTATGCAACAAATACTTTGAAAACTTGAGGCTGGGGATTGGCTCTGTTGGCCGAGTGTTTGCCTGGCATTCACAGAGTCCTGTGTGTCTGGGTTCTGTCCCCAGTATTACTCCAGTCCAGCATGATGGCACAAGCCTGTCAATTCAGCACTCTAACAGGTGGATGCAGGAGGATCTGAAGTTCAAGGTCATTCTGGGTTGCAGAGAGAATTCATGGTTAGCCTGGGCTATATGAGACCCTGTCTCAAAAGAAAAAAAAAAACAACAAAAACAAAACCAGTAACTCCTGGACTTCACTTTGTAGCTGGACTGATCACAGTGGAGAACTGTTAGGCATTTAATGGGGTTCAGCTGCTTTGGGGATTTTCAAGGAGGTGAGAATTGTCCAAAGGAAACTTTCCTGGGCTTGGGGTGTGGCTTAGCATCAGAGCACATGCCTGCTGTGTGCAGAGCCCCAGGTTTGAGCTCCAGCACTGGGGAAGGCAGCAGAAGCAAGGAGTCATTTCCCGAATCTCCACAGTGCCCATCAGGTGGCCCGCTGGCAGGACAAGCTGCTCGAAAGTACTGAAAAGCCAAGCCCCCGTGAACTGTCTGTCCATGCCACCCTGCCCTGTGTTAGGGACTCCATGGGCTGCAGAGCAAGGCAAAGGATGGGTTTGAGGGGGGCCAGCCTTGCACCTGTACCCAGTGCTCTCAGCTGGGTCGCTAGTTTACACGCCTGCTTGCCCATCCTGACTTTCCTGGCTGCACTGCGTTCACCTGTCAGCAGTCCCCTGCCTCACATTGGCATCCTGGAGGTTGGCAGCAGCAGAGAGGGCACCAGGGCTGGAGTCCGTGCCTTCAGGTATAACAGAGTGCTCCTGCGCCAGCCTGGTGCAAGTCCCAGCAGCCTGCACTGGTGCTTCCTTTCCCAGAGCAACAGCTGGCTGTCAGGGTGGGCTTGCATCTCTTCATCCTCATCCATGCCCATCTCTGCTCAGTTATGGCATGCCTAACCTTCCCTTCAGCTCCCATGGTAGGGACTCGCCTCCGAAGCTAGTGCTGGGCACTAGGTTGGATGCTGGGCACTAGGTCGGATGCTGGGCACTAGGTTGGACGCTGGGCACTTAGGCAGCTGTGTGCATCCTTTCCAGAGATCCTTGACCGCTTGGTACTGTCTGTGGAGCTCTCAGAGCTGGACTTGCTGACCGTTTGAGGTAAAGAAGTACAAAGTCTTGTTAAGATGCTCACATCTCCTTCTTCTAGGCGAAGAACAAAAAGGCCCAGGATAAGAGAGAGAAAACTAGTTTTTGGAACGAAATAAAGCTGCTAAGAAAGGAGCTGAAGGAGAGGGAGGAGGCAGCCATAGTTCAGAGCCTGGCTACGGCAGACGTGGTCCTGGCCACCAACACAGGTGAGAGTGCCTGCCAGCGTGGCTGTGAAGCAGGAGAGAGTGGAGCCTGCCCTAGCCCTGAACTCACGGAAGCCTCTGCACCAGCCGCACCCCTGCACCAGTGCTGCCTGTGGGGAGGTTAGGACTGCAGAGGCACCTTTAGCAGATACGGCTATTCTTGGTATCTCCCGAAGACATGGTGGGCTTGGTGATGGATGCTCCCGCCTCGGACATCACCCGGTTCCCTTTCTTTCCTGATATGGGCATTAGCTCCTGTTTTTGTGACAGCCCACAGATAGTATAATCTTCTGTTTCATCTTCGCTCATTTCAAAGTGTTAATTTGCTTTTATGTTTCCCTAATCACAAAGTCTTGGTTTTTGGCTCACAGTGATCTAGAGGGGTTTCGTGTGGTCTCTGAATAGTTGGGGTTCCCTGCTCTCCTTTTGACATTGCATTTCATTCCTATGGGTTACAGTTCCGTGTGATCCCTGGATTTGGTTGCTCCCTGAGACCAGGGTCCAGAGCATGCGTGCTCCTCCTGTATGTTCCGTTGTGCATGTTGTAAGATTGTTGAGGTGTTCTGCAAGTGTGTGTGCGATCAGGGTGGCTGGTAGTCTGTTCAGGTGTGCTGTGTCCTTGTCTTTTAAGAAGATTTATTCATCGCTTTTATGTATATGTATGTGTGCCTGTGTGAGTTGTGTACCATGTAACTGCAGAGGCCAGGGTATTTTGGATTCCCAGGATCTGGAGGTACAGGCAGCTGTGAGCCACCTGATGTGGGTGCTGGGAACCAAACCCAGGTGCTCTGCCAGAGGGGCTCTGGGGATTGATCATCAAGCTTGACTGCAAGTTCCTTTAGCTGCTAAGCCATCCCGCTGGCCCTCTATGTAGTTTTAACACAAGATGGATCACAGAGCAGCTGGCTTGTCTGGCATCTGACGTGATGTGCCAGTGAGGCTGTTGACTCCACTCCCTTTCCGTGCAGGTGCGTCTCCTGACGGCCCCTTGAAGCTATTGCCAGAGAGCCACTTTGACGTGGTGGTGGTGGATGAGTGCGCCCAAGCCCTGGAGGCCAGCTGCTGGATCCCACTGCTGAAGGCCCCGAAGTGTGTCCTGGCTGGAGACCACAAGCAGCTGCCACCCACCACCATCTCTCACAAGTAAGAAGCTTCCTGCCTCTGCTGGCCCACCCTGTGCCCCCCGTAGCCTCCATGCCCCGGCTCCTCCTGAGGCCAGGCTATGCCTCCATTCATGGTTCTTGACTACACGTTCCAGTGCTAAACATAGGTGTTCACCCAGCTGACAGTTGAGGCTGTGTGCTCCGTGGTAATGGGGGTTGTGTCACCATCATCTCTGTGGCTTCAGGTTCAAGCACAGAGCTGGCCTGCTCCTGTACTCCCTGGAGGCTTGTTGCTTTGAGTGCCAGGAGAGCCTCTATGGTCTGGGTGTGCTGGCGATTAGCTTCCAGCCTGCTGTGGGCTCTGTGGTTCGCTTAGGAGCTCTCATGGGGACTTTTTGATAGGGAGCCTCTGCTCAGGGGAGATGGGGGCCATGACCTGAGGACATGCGTGCGCACATATACAGAGGTGGAGTGCCTCAGCTTAGCCTCGCCTGGGTGCTGTCTGCCTACAGGCCCATCTCATCACCTTTCCTACCGTCCACTCGCTGCTCTGGCCACACTGGCCTCCTTCGGTATCGCTGTGCCCTCTGCCTGGACCACTGCTCCCCTGGGTGCTGGCAGTCCCACTCTTCATTCAGAGACCTCCCCTCCCCGCAATGTGGTCTCTGTTGCTCACCTCCAGCCCCTTCCAGGACTCATGTTTTCTCAGCATGATCACTCCCTAGCAGGTGTTTTTTGGGACGTCTGCTTGTCTCCCTCTAGAGCCCACTGTGGGCCTGTGGCAGGGCCTGGCATGTGGGTCACTGTGAACAGGCCTACTTCCAGAAGGCAGCCCCTAGAGGCCAGGCCTCTGGAGCCCAATTGCAGCTGGAGCTGAGAGGCCTCATCCTGCGTTCTGTGTTACCTGAAACCTCCTGTTTGCTGTGTGTGTTCAGAGTTCTGAGTGCAGCTGGAGTGAGCTGTTAGGAAGGGTATGGAGTGGAACCTTATAGAGGGAGTGGGTAGCCCTACAGGTGGGATACTGTCTGGGATGCTCCTGAGGAAGAGGCCCCGACAGCAGTCCCTTGAGGCTAGGCATGGGGGTGCTTGGGTGGAGTAGAACCCTGGGTTCTGGGGAACAGGAAGCCTTGGTGGGAAGGGTGGGGTCTGAGTAGCAGTGAGGAGGCTCAGGGCTGTGCGTCTGGCCACTTCTCCAGGATGGTTCTCAAATGACAGAGGGCTCCATCCTCCAGGGATCTGTGAGGGGAATCTGGGTTTCACTGCAGATAGAGGGACCCTAGTGTCCCTGGAAAAAGTTGAGGGGGCACAGATGGGCTGGGCCGGCCATTCCTGGGTTTGGGGGTGTGATGGACATGGTACGTCCTGCCTTTGGCTGCAGTTACTTTGGTAGCAGTGATTGTTAAGAACCAGTTGATTCTTTTTTTAAAAAATAAAGAATTTATTTTATGTGTATGAGTGTCTTTCCTGCATGTATGTAAGTGATCATGTACATGCCTGCTGCCGGCAGAGACCAGAAGAGGGTGTTGGATCCCCTGGAACTGGAGTTACTGATGGTTGTTAGCCACCATGTGGGTTCTGGGAGCCGAACCCTGGTCCTCTGCAAGAGCAGCCAGTGCTCTTAACCAGTTAGCCGTCTCTCCAGCCCCTCAGTTGGACACCTGGTGAGTTCCCAGAGGAGCACTCAGTGCTTTCCCAGGGTCATGGCCATTTCCGGTGTGGAAAGAGGTTCTGTGTGGTGGAGCCTGTGGGTCCTGCCCTGCAGCTGCCTATGTGCAGTGTGTGCGTGTGTGGCGGTAGCCTGGGTCTCACTCTCCTTTGTGCAAGGTGGAAATAGCTCCGCAGCTGCTCGGGGCTGTATGGAGAGTGCTGTCTGCTGACCAGGCGGCCTGGCACAGGCAGGTATATGGAGAGTGGCCATGTGCAGACCAGGCGGCCTGGCACAGGCTCCCAGTGGAGCACATTAAAGTGTAATTTGTTTGTTTTGAGACCGTCTCCTGTAGCTGTTTGGTCTTGAACTCAGTATATAGCTGAAGATGGCCTTGAACTTGTAGCCTCTTGCTTCTTCCCATGTGCTGGAGTCCCAGTGGGCGTCATCATCGCCCGCTTAGAGTTTTTAAAACTTCCTGTCATAACTTCCTGCCAGTGTATGACTTACGATCACGGAGTTACTGCCTTAAACAGCCCAGGTTTGTGGCCTTCTGCTGGTGGCCTCACGAGGACACATCTGCCTCTCCTGCTTTTCCAGGCCACTGTGCTTGCATGGCCTTTGGTCATCTTCTAGGTCAGCAGCACAGAGTCCTCAGATCTGGCTTGGCCCCGCCTTCCTTTTGTGCCTCCCCACCCGCAGACCTCTCTCAGGTCCTGGTGGTGAGGCTCCAGATGCCCAGCCCAGCCATCCTCTGAATGCTGGGGAAGGATTGGGTTCGGGGTTTAAGGATAGCTTTCCCCTCTCTCCCGTGTCACATCTGGACTTGGCCTTCTTCCTTCTCCCCATGAGTGCAGGGCAGCACTGGCCGGGCTGTCGCGCAGCCTGATGGAGCGTCTGGCAGAGAAGCATGGTGCCAGCGTAGTACGGATGCTGACAGTGCAGTACCGAATGCATCAGGCCATCACACGCTGGGCCTCAGAGGCCATGTACCACGGGCAGCTGACTGCTCACCCTTCTGTGGCAGGGCACCTTCTCAGGTAAGGACCTGGCCTCATCTAGCCCTGTGCAGGAGAATGAAGGGAAACATGTCTGTTAGAGGCTAGGGATAGCAATCACAGAGACTGGCCTTCTAGAGAGGGGCCCAGGCCTGACTAGGAGCTGGACCTGGTGGCCCCTCTGTTTTCCTGGTGGAAAGGGACAGTGCTGCTGTGGGGAGGTCAGCATCACACTCTCCCCATCTCCATGCCAGGGACCTCCCGGGTGTGTCTGCCACAGAGGAGACAAGCATCCCGCTGCTGCTAGTGGACACAGCTGGCTGTGGGCTGTTTGAGCTAGAGGAGGAAGACAGCCAGTCCAAAGGAAACCCAGGTGAGCCACCAGCCAGGGTCCCCTGCCCTGCTCAGGTTGCCCTTCACAACAGGACACTCCAGGGGCTGGAGAGATGGCTCAGCATAAGCGCACTAATTGCTCTTGCAAGGGACCCAAGTTCAATTCCCAGCTCCCATGGGTGGCTCACAAACACCTATAACTCTGGTTCTAGAGGAATCCAGCACCTTCTGGCCTCCATGGGCACTTGCACACACATGGCATATATTCACACACACCACACACTACACACCACACCCCCCACACCCCCACATACCCCCCTGCACTTGAATAAGTAAAAATAAAAATAAATCATTAAAAATTAAAAAAACAGGACTGGAAAGATGACTCAGCAGTTAAGAGCACTGGCTGCTCTTACAGAGAACCTGGGTTCCCAGCACCCACATGGCAGCTAACAACTGTCTGTAATCCAGTTCCAGGGAATCTGTTGCCCTATTCTGGCCTTCGCAGGCATTGCATGCATGTGTTACACTTAAATACATGCAGGTAAAATACTCATGCGCATAAAATAATTTATAAAAATTAAAAACTTAGGGGCTGGAAAGATGGCTCAGCAGTTAAGAGCACTGGTTCTTCTTGCAGAAGACCTGGGTTCAAATCCCAGAACCCACATGGCAGCTAACAGCTGTCTGTAACTCCAGTCTCAGGGGGATCCAACAGCCTCTTCTGACCTCCAAGGGCATTACATGACATGGGTGCACTTCCTACACGCAGGCAATACACACATACACATAAAAGAAATAAAAATAATAAAAAGTTATTAAAAAGAAAATTAAAAACTTAGCCAGAGGTGGTGGCACACCCCTTTAATCCTAGCTCTCGGGAGGCAGAGGCAGGCAGATCTCTGTGAGTTCAAGGCCAGCCTGGTCTACATAGTGAGTTCCAGGCCAGCTGGGGCTACAGAGAGACCCTGTCTCAAAAGATTAAAAAAAAATTTTTAAACTTCAAAATAAAACAAATCAGTCCAAGAGCCTGCTTCAGTGAGACACCAGGAGTGAGAGACGAGGGCAGGCACCCAGTGAGCTGCCGGCTTGAGGTGCACACCTCAAGGGCCGGGCGGCGTCTGCTCTGGGGTGCAGCTGATGGCTGGTACCTGGGCTTCACCACGCTTCTTTATTTTTTATTTTCTTTTTTTGGTCTTTTTTTTTTTTTTTTGACACAGGGTCTCCCTGTAGCCCCAGCTGGCCTGGAACTCACTATGTAGTCCAGGCTGGCCTTGAACTCAACAGATATCTGCCTATCTCTACCTCCAGAGTCATGGGATTAAAGGTGTGCGCCATCACGCCCGGCCTACCATGCTCCCTTGAACACTGGTCTGGCTCATCTCAGATTGAGACTCTCAGCCAACAGCACCCAGGTCTCATGACCCTCATGCTAGCCAGCGGTCTACACTCCCATGCTAGGCCTGGTGATCCTCTGCTCAGCTCGTCAGCTCCCAGGACACTCCCTCTCTGAAACCCAGTGTAGGATCTGTTGATGACAGGCAGAAAGTTCCCACAGCTCAGTGGCAGAAGCGGTGCAACGTGGCCCTCACTGAACAGCCCCTCTGCCCCCCAGGAGAAGTCCGCCTCGTCACTCTGCACGTCCAGGCTCTGGTGGATGCTGGCGTTCAAGCAGCTGACATTGCCGTCATAGCACCCTACAACCTTCAGGTGTGGAGGACCCCCTTTTGTCTCTGTCAGTGGACTTGGCTGACCAGAGGTGGCAAGGAAGGGGTGGTTTGTTGGCTTCTGTGACCATGTCAGCTAGAGTGGACCTCACTGTGACTGAGTCCAGGGCCTAGGTGGCGCCCTGCCGGCCTGATGTCAGCCTGTTTCCCACTGTGGTCATTTCAGACCAGCATCCCCAGGCAGACATGGTCCCAGAGGCCATGCGGGTGTGTCAGGCTGGCCCATGTTGTGTCCCTGACCCCATCAGCTTGCTTTCTATGCAGTAAAAGGTCCTTAGAAGCAGTGGTCGCCTCATCCTGGCCCCAGCATCACACACAAAGCTGTCACAGGCCAGGGGTGTCATGACCCTCAGAGAATATTAGGAACCCCAGGGACCGACTCAGTGCTAGAGCTTAGGGCTAGTGAGGGAGCTCCTGGGTTCAGTCCCCACCACCACAGAAGAAGGCTGCAACCCCTGACAGCTTGCTGCTTTCTAGCACTCATGTGGAGAAGGGGGCTGTGGCAGCCCTTCCTGTAGGCAGGGTCCCCAGGCGTGACAGCGTCCCACAGTCACGCTGGCTTGGTGCAGGTCGTGAGCTGGCAACCCTCCCTGCTGTTTCAGGTGGACCTGCTCAGACAGAGCCTCTCACACAAGCACCCCGAGCTCGAGATTAAGTCTGTCGATGGCTTCCAGGGCCGAGAGAAGGAGGCCGTGATCCTGAGCTTTGTGAGGTCCAGCAGGAAAGGTACGGTCTCTCTGGGGCCTGGGGAACAGCCTGGGAGAGCTCTACTGATCCTGAGGGCACTTAATGCAGCCTCTGCCCTCTGAGCGCACGTCAAGCAGAAAACTAGGGAGCAAGGTGGGGCTCTGATAACATCCCAGGTCAGCAGAACCCAGGCAGGCAGGGAGCATCCTGGGACGGCACATGTGAACACACTTCCTAGCCTAGTATTGGGGAGAGGAGCACGTACTTTCCTGACAGAGGGAATGTCAGGCTGGAGGCTCAGAAGCCAAGAGTGCCGTCAGCAAGCAGGTGGCTGCAAGGTGGGCTGCGGTAGGTGGGCCCAAAGTGACCCAGCCGCCCTGTCAGAAAGAAGGAGCCCCTCAAACCCAGAGCCCATCTCTCAGCCTCGAGGCCTTGTTCTTATGAGGCCACACAGTAAGAAAATGGCAGCACAATCCAGCTCTAGCCAGTGGGCTTGCAGAGCAGCCTTGATAGCAGGCCAGGGATGAGTGAGGATGGGGGCAGCCCCCAGTCCCCTGCCCTGTGTCCACAGCAGCTGTCCCTGGGTCCTGAACCGGGGTGTAGGGAGGAGGAGGCCGTACTGGCCAAGGGCAGTCTCAGAGCTCCCACTGACTGTGGAATTGCTCTGGTCAGCAGTGGGGCAGGCACTGGAGCTGGCGTGGCACCCCACCACACCAGTTCAGGCGGGAAGGGTGAGGGGCACTCAGCCTGCTGGAGCTCTGAGGACATAACTGGCCCCATGTCCCTGAACAGGCCTCCTGTCCCTGGCCTTGGGTGTCTGCATCCCTCACCTCTGCTCTTTCTTCAGGTGAAGTTGGTTTTCTGGCTGAGGACCGGCGGATCAACGTTGCTGTGACTCGAGCTCGGCGCCACGTGGCCATCATCTGTGATTCCCACACGGTCAACAACCACGGCTTTCTGAAGACCCTGGTGGGGTATTTCACAGAGCACGGGGAGGTGCGCACAGCCTTTGAGTACCTGGACGACATTGTCCCTGAAAACTATGGCCACGAGGATGCCCAGGGCCACGGCCGCACTGCTGCCAAGCCCTGGGGCCCAGCTGCCTCCACCAAGAAGCCTGCCAGGAGGCAGGAGAGGCACCGACAGGCCACAGCAGCTGCAGCTGGTGAGAAGCCCTCGGGCTCTGAGGCCTGCTCCCAGCCCAGCTCCAGTGAAAGTGGCCCCAGAGTGGGAGAGGACAGTGCAGAGCGCCTCAGAGCCACAATTGCAGAGTTTGTGGCCAGCAAGGAGACACAGTTGGAGTTTCCCACAGCCCTGAACTCCCACGACAGGCTGCGCGTCCACCAGATAGCTGAGGAGTTTGGGCTGCGGCACAGCAGCACCGGGCAGGGGAAGGCGCGGCGCATCACCGTGAGCAAGAGGAGTCCCGGGGCCACCGGTGCTGTGGTCCGCCAGCCTCCCTCACCCCTCAGCCCGGCACAGCCCAAGCCACAGGCAGCAGAGCCAGAGCCACAGGCAGAGCTGGAACCACGGGCAGAGCCCCCCCTCGGGGAGCCAAACAGCCAGGTACAGCTGGACCTGAAGGCACTGCACCTGGAGAGGCTGCAGAGACAGCAGGGTGGCCAGGCCCAGCCAGCCAAGGCACAGCCAGGTGTGGGCTCAGGGCTGCAGAAGGTTCTACAAAAGAAGAAGAAAAAAGAAGTGAAGGGTAAGCTGTGTCTTTACGCGCATGCGTGGCGTGGTATTCCCTCACCCGAAACCTGCCACCCCAGCGGGAGTTGAGACTTCCCATGGGCACACTGTCTCCTGGGTTGTTTTTGCTTTTCCTGTGATCCCCTGGCTCTTGTTTACCTGTTCTGGGCTCCCCTAGGGCAGTCACAGGCAGAGTCCCTGGTGTCCCCACAGGCCCTCAGAGAGAAGTCCTGGCATGGTTAGTGTTGTGGCTCAGTGGGGCAGGGCCTGCTCTTGACACACAGGGATGTGCTCAGTCACAGGGGCTTTGCAGCCACCATTCTCCTATCCCATGTACCAGCCCTACGTGGGCTGTGTGGTTTGCATTCAGCCTGCACTGTGCCCACCACCCCGGTGACCTTGGGGCCCGCACTGTGTGCAGAGCTGCTTGGTCACGGCCTGAGTTCTCTGATACATCAGTGGGTTGCTGCCACGAGACCACAGGTCAGCCACCTTCCATGCATCCAGTTCTGTGACCCCACGGTGTAGCCCCCTGGTGTCCTCACCCCGAGTGACGCTGCCTTTGTCCATTGCCCAGCCCTGGCTCTGCCTGCAGAGGAGGACTTTGATGCCCTGGTGTCAGCTGTAGTTAAAGCCAACAACACCTGCAGCCACACCAGGTGTTCTACGAGCATCGTGACCCTGGGCCAGCTCTGCCAGCTCTGTGGCCACCGCTACTGCCTCAGTCACCACCTGCCTGAGGTATGTGGCCCCTCTGCTGGGCGGTAGCCAAACCGTCCTAAGAGTGCCTCCTGAGGGAGAGCAGATGCTGATGATTATCGGATTGTGAAGAAGTCAAAACTTCCTTTGCTGAGTGGAAGCCCAGTCAGTGGGACCTCTGGGCAGAGGGAGGTGGGGCTCTGACCTACTGGCTGAGTGGCAGCAGCCTTTGGCCTTTTTTTTTTTGGTTCTTTTGAGACAGGGGCTCCCTGTAGCCTCAGCTGGCCTGCAACTCACTATGTAGACCAGGCTAGCCTTGAACTCACAGAGATCCTCCTGCCTCTGCAAAGGAGGGTACCACCACGCCTGGCTGCCTTTGGCCTTTTTTTTTTGGGATCTTTTGAGACAGGGGCTCCCTGTAGCCTCAGCTGGCCTGCAACTCACTATGTAGACCAGGCTAGCCTTGAACTCACAGAGATCCTCCTGCCTCTGCAAAGGTGTGTACCACCACGCCTGGCTGCCTTTGGCCTTTTTGTCTGTTCCTGGAGGGCAGCTTCAGGAGAGCCCTTATGATCAGGTGCAGGACCCATGAGGACTCAGGGCAGAGCAGGCCCTCAGGCCTGGGGGGCATTTGAGAAAGAGACTGGCATGGACTACAGGTACCAGGGCATCCAACCTCATGATGCTGAGCCCCCTCCCCATCCTGGGCAGATGTAGGTGAAGGATGGAATGGGAGGGAGGAAGGCAGGTCCACAGTCTTGCACTGGCCCCCGCTGGTCCTTTGATTGCAGATCTGCAGACTGCCACCTTCCTTATCCGCACAGCCCACCCTGACTCTAGTGTCCTTTCAGATCCACGGCTGTGCTGAGAAGGCTCGCGCCCATGCCCGGCAGAGGATCAGCCGGGAAGGGGTTCTCTATGCTGGCAGCGGGGCTAAGGACAGGACCCTGGACCCAGCCAAGAGGGCCCAGCTGCAAAGAAGGCTGGACAGGAAGCTGAGTGAGCTCAGCAGCCAGAGGACGAGCAGGAGGAAGGAGAAGGAGAGGGGGACGTGAGGGCGCTCCCCTGCAGGCCACGCGGGGTGGAGGGCCAGGGGCTGCGCAGGGCAGAGGCCCGGCCCTGGGACGAGCTTGCTTAGACTGAGCAGGTGAGGATAGTCTTGCATTGGCTGAGCCTCTGCGTGGCCTGGCGTGGCCCTTCTTGCTCCTTCGGAAAATTGCCTTGCAGATCTTAGCAGGGGTTCTGTTGAAAGCCATGCCTGGCCTTGGACAAGTGGAGTGAGCCCCGCTCCAGCCCACCTGGCCAGGCCCCGGTAATGCTGCCCCAAGAGTGTCCCACAAGCCAGTGCTTGGTGTGGCCGGCAGGCCGAGGTCATCTTCCTCCTGTCTTCTCAGCAACCTGGACCCTGCAGAGCAGTGCATGCGGCTGCAGAGGCCTGCAGATGGGAGGGTGGCCTCTCTGCTCCTCCACTCACCGTCCCAGGTGTGGCCCCGGGTGACATGGCTGCTCCCTGGTCGCACCCACGCTGCTCACCCCCACTGTGCAGTGCCCTCTCCAGCTTTCCTTGCTGGCTATCCTGGGAACCTCAGCAGATGAGTTTTACCCTCAGGTTCTTGGTTCCAAAGAATGTGATTGTTTACAAATTAAAGTGTGCACCCTGACTGCCGTTTTCTGTGCCGGAGGCCAGCGCTCTTTACCGCTCAGCTGTCCCCCTGCACCTAGGTGAGCAGACTGATACTGCACCTCCCTAGGGCGTCTAAGGGTAGTAGTGCGTGACACGCAGCCTGGTGGCCTGAACAGACAGGGTTCCTGTGAGACAGACACAGGGAAGGAAAGATGCCGCTCTCGGTTGACTTTTCTACTGAGAAGGCTCAGATTAGGGAACCTTCAGTGTTGTGCAGCCTGATGCTGGAAGGTGCCAGGACCCCAAGAGTCTAGGTGGGTGGGGCACTTCCTCAGAGGCTGTGGCCCATGAGAAAATGACCAGGCCTGGGTCTGACCCCTCCCAATCCCTCTGTCCATGCCCCTTGAGCTTCCACAGAGGGATGCTTCCGTGTAATCCTGTGTTCCCTTGCGGGCACCTAGCCACACACAGCTCTCACTGCATCTTGAGTGGGAGGAACAGCTAATAATGTATGATACCCAGTGTTCCTTTGCTGGCCAGGCACCTGAGGTGCCCCTCCCTCCGGGAGCCTGTCCACGCTGTGGGTAGACCCCTGTCCCCAAGTGGCTACACACCGTGGCTCCTCTGCTCTTGCCAGGGCAGGGCCACCCTCCCACTGTTGTGTGACTGTCCTCCAGGTTGGACATGACCATGGTCACCTTGAATCGGGGCACTGTGATGGGCACACAAGACGTCTCAAGACCAGCCGTGACCCTTGACATCCCCTCCCTAGGGCAGAGGGTGATGACACACTCGGGGCAGCCCAACAGTCCTTGTGTACCCAAGGGGGCTTGGCAGAGGCACAGCTGTCTGGGGACTTCCTGGTTAAGGTGTATCGCCTTTGTCGTCTGTGTTCCCAAAGCCAAGCCCAGTCCTCTCAGCGGCTCCCCAAGCTGCGCAGGATGGCGTCCTTCCTTTGGTCTGTGGGCACTCCCTCCATCTGGGGTGAGTAGACGACCCTCCCCAGGAAAAGTGTGCATCCACCCTTCTGCTGTGTGACGCCCCACTGGGAACCACCAGGGCCTCTCCTGCTCCGCGGACAGCCTCTTTGCGCCCACCAGTGGCTTTGGGCCTGAATTGTTGGGGAAGGGGACGGGGGTCTCACTGCGTTTGTGCCACGTGCCAGTAGGTTGTTTTCAACTGGTCTGAAGTGCTGCCAGCCAGCCACCACAGCAGAGTAGCACACACTGCAGTGAGAGTTGTGTGTGGACGGGTGCCCGCCAAGGAACACAAGATCACACGGAAGCATCACTCTGGGTGTTGGGTGGGCATACAGTGGAAGCTGCTTGGGCTCCCTGACCTGTGGTGTACGCCCTGGGACCCCCAGGGAGGCACACATCCTAAGCTGGTTCATGTGGTTCCTCACTGACTGGCCACAGTGAGAGGCTCAGGGATAATGTCAGACTGCAACAGGGCCTGTCAGAGTTCTGCCTGGAGCTGGCCACGCAACAAGATCCCGCTCCTGTTGCACTGCAGACCTGCCGCTGCTCCATCTGCCCTCTACAGGAAATGGAGGGCAGACAAGACTCCAACAGGGCTGGGGTGGTCTGCTGACAGTGTTGGAGCACCTGGATCCAACCACACCTGACCTCCAGTCATCTATCCCAGTACCCGAACCAGTAATTCCCCCTTGTTTACCTTGGGTTTCTGTCGCTTGCGGCCAAAGAGTCTTTGCTGATCTAGTTGTGCCCATCCCTGTATGTCTTTTTATTATGTATGTGTATAAGTGTGCTTGTCTGTGTGTGTGCCGTGGAGGCCAGAGTTGATGTCAGGTCTCTTCCTTATTTCTAGCTCCATCTTTCTTTTGTGGTCTTTTTGAGACAGGGTCTCCCTGTAGTCCCAGCTGGCCTGGAACTCACTGTGTAGACCAGGCTGGCCTTGAACTCACAGGGATTCGCCTGCCTCTGCCTCCTGAGTGCTGGGACTAAAGACATGTCACCACGCCCGGCTGTATCTCCATCTTTCTAAAAAAATTTTAAGCATTTTGTTTACTTAGGGCGCAGGCCTGCCATGCACATGTGGAGGTGGGGCAGTCCGCAGGAGTTAGTTCCCCTCCCACTGTGTGGGTCCCAGGAATTGAACTCATGCTATCAAGGTTGGTGGCCTGTGCCTTTACCCACTGAACCTAGAGCTTACCGTTTTGGCTAGGCTGCTGGCCAGTGAGCCCTGGGATATGCCTGTCTCCACCCCTCTCCCCCAATGCTGGGGTTTCAGATGTACCCACCTCGTCAGGCTTTTACACAGGTGCTGGGGATCTGAATTCCTTGCATAGAAGCACTTCCCACTGAGCTGTCTTCCCAGACCAATACATCTGTGCTCCTTACAGGGTCTGTGCATTCCAGCATGGAAACCGTGCTGAGCCAGTTGCGTGGGGAAAGAGTGGGACTGGGGTCCAGGCCACCTGCTCCGGTCCTGGGCTCCCATGGCCCACCCTCCAGGAGAAGCTTGGCTTGGGTAAACTTGTGACCAGAACGGCCCGGGCTTTGAGAAGACTCAGAATCAAGCTCAAAGTTTCCACTAATGATCCCGGGCAGCCTTTGTTAAGAAAATGTTTGTGACTGGCTGCTCATGAAATGTCTTACAGCCTGACAGGGCAGGTTAACCCAGGAGAAGGAAAAGGCCAGCCAGGCTAAGCATGTCCCCAGCCACTGAGAATTCCAGGATGGTCCCAGGACCTTCAGTCCTCCCAAGGAGGGAGTGGCTCACATGGGCTCATTAGAGGTGAAGGGTCTCTTGGGAGACCCCTGTCTCCTTGGTGGTGAGGGGCTGTACCCATCAGACTGCTTGTCTGGTCTTATGCCTCAGTTTTCCTCTTGTGTAAAATGGGCTATCACAGAACTCACTTCCTAAGGTGGCTGTGAAGTTTAGAAGAGGCCCTGGTGACAGCATCTGGCCTCTGGCTGGCTGTGGCTACTCTTTTCCAGCAAGGCCACTGCACAGAGGGGCTGAGGTGGCCACAGTAGGCGGCCCACATGCCCAGACAATGGGGGCAGCTGGCGGCCTTGGGTGCTTGAGGCAGAGGTGACGGCACCACCTGCTCCTTTGGAGATACCTGGCTGTGTATCTCCACACAGCTGCTGGAGGATTCCAGCAGGCTGGGCACTGTGACAAGTGTGCCTGAGTACTACCCAGAGGAGTGGCCCCAGTGGGCTGCTGGGCACCTGGCTGCTTTGGGAGGTTCCGGGCCCAAGTGACAACCTTGGCACTTAAAGGGGCTTTCAGTCTGTGCCAGGAGCCTGGCAAGAGCTGCAGCCTTATTTGGTCTGGAAACTTCTTGGAGTGGAGGAAGAGTGGAAGAGGGAAGCTGACCTTGCCGGTGGGCAGGCGGAGCTGTGGCTGGTCCGGCGGGGGCTCGTGTGTTCGGATTATCTCTCAGGTCTCCCATCCGTGTGCACGCCAGGTCCAACGCCGCTTAGCTCTTTACCTCAGACAGGGCTGGACACGTCCAGGGTGGTGTGGCTGCAGACCATCTCTGTTTCTGTTTGGCCACTGCCCTTGCCAATAACAACACCCCCCCCCACTCAGCCTCCTCCCTGATCCCTGATCCCAGGAGTAACTGTCATAAAGCCTCACCAAGTGCAGTTACCACAGCACGCACACGTGTACACACACACACACACACACACACACACGCACATACATGTGCGCGTGCCTAGGGAAGTTGGTAAGTGCAGACCTGTGTACTTCGTCACCCCCAAAGCTCCTGGTGTGACCTGTGGTTAATCCTGTGTCTCCCTTCTGTCCTTCAGAACTGACCTGTTCCTGGAAACTTCTTTCAGTACGTGGTCTTTTGCCTTTGAGTTATTCAAATTATTTGGCACACTGTGTTTGAGGTTCACCCAGGTTGTATGGTGTGTCAGTCATTCCTTTTTATTGCCAAGTAATATTCTATTGTACGGACATACCACGTTGTGTTTATCATTCACCTGGAGGTGGGTAATAGATTGCTTTCACTTTGGGACTGTTGGGAACCACAGAGATGCTGTGAACAATCACTTTTTTTTTTTTTTGAGACAATCTCATATAGATCAGATTGATCTGAAATTCACTAGGTAGCTCTTGATCCTTCCTCCTGCCTCAGCCTCCCACATGCTGTTATAAGTGTGTACCATAATGCCCAGTTTAACAAGCCTGTAGCTGCTTGTAAGAATGAGCCCTGCATTTCAGAACCTAGACAGAACTCAGGCAGCCTGAGTTCTGGAGGCCGTGGACCTCTCAGGATCTGGATGTGGTCACAGCCTGGGTGATAGAGGCTTTTCCCTGTGGGTAATAGGACAGACATGGAGGAGGCCAGCTGGGAGGAGGGATGGAGCCAGGCTCCCGGCATGGAGCCAGATGTGGACAGACTCCATGGTTCATACAGGAGGAGGGCTGCAGAACACATTTTCCCCAGCTCAGCTCCAACCCCAAGCACCTTTTCTCTCTCAGGCATGACAGAGCACAGCCAACTTGAGATTTAAAAGGTGGACAGCCTGCCCCAAAGAGGGAAATGTGTCCCCTGGGGGCTGCCCTGGGATTATGCTCAGTTCTGGCTGAGACCACATCTTTGCCCGGATGTGTCTAGTGCCCTGAGGTTGTGCCCTAGTGAGTCACCTGAGCCCTGTCTGAGGCTCTGGCTGCCAGGTTGGCCTCTAACTCGGAGACCTGCCAGCCTGCCTCCCACGTGCTGGGATTAAAGGCGAGTGCAGCCACACCCGACTGGGCAGATGCTGTATTGCTGTGGTCTTTCCCATCAGCCCTGGCAAAGCTGAGGCGTCAGGTTCTTGAGTTTGCTCTATGGCTCCGTGGGTCCTGAAGACGTACAAGATATCTGGGGAGGCGGCACACGAACAGGCAGACACCTTCATGCACTGTCAGCACACGTGTGTGCTGCTCCCACTGGATTTTAGGTTGTTTGAGGAGCGCCATCTTGGAGACAGAGACATGTGGCCTGGATCACTGCCTGGCCTACCGGGTGTGCTTTCCTCCCTCCCAAGATGCCTGGGGCTTGCGTGCGTCACCCT